TGGTGTTTGGCCCTTTGAGATGAAATTAGCAAAGCTATAAAGGGCAAAAATGTTATTACATAGATTCCATTGTCGAAGTGCCGTGGGATATTGGGATTTTGGTTGTATTTCATTGTCAAATTGTGAAGTGGGTGGGACTGTATATGCGCATGGCGATTTTTTTTTTTTTTTGGGGGAGAGTAAAAGAGGAAAAAAAAAATGTGTGTGTCCATTTGAACCGTGAGTAAAGAAGGTATATGAAACTCAATTTAAGCATGCATTGTAATTAATTTTAGTGTATATGTATTTGTATATGCGTGGACTGTCTTAACATGTTTTGAATTAGTAACTATTTTAATTTAATTCATGGACTGTTTTGGTTCATTTTGATATACTATTTTAGTTTAATTTCAAAACATATTTTTGTGAGTTTAAATTAAGTGTATTAAACATAAATTAGTGGATTGTTTTGTGTTAAATTAATGGACTGTTTTATTTTAAGTTTAAAACAGATTTTATTAAGGGTTTTAAACAAAATTTAGGGGCTGTTAAGAATGGGTGTTAAATAGGTATTCAACCGAGTATGCTAAAAGTTGTGGAAATGACCATTTAAGGTATTCGAGAAGCATTTAGTGAGCTAGGTTGAAACCGAAATTATGGGAGTGAAATATTTGGTTTAAAGGTTCAATTATGGGCTTTTTTACATTGATTAAATGTGTATGTGAATTTCAGTGTAGTAGTTTAAAAAGAAAAGAGTGATAGAGGTTGGAAATTAGTGTCGGTAATGCCGAAACCCTGATTTCTAAATGTTATTATCACATGCGTGAATTTTAATCTAAATGATCTGAAATTTTGCAGGCAGCATTTTTAAATAATACTTGATATGATAATGTGAATTTCGAATGCAAATGAGTATAATATTCATAGCGAAATGTATGAAATTTCAAATGTATAATTTTTAGGATTCGGGGTTGAAATATGTAAAAATGGGCCCTCGATCAATGTGTTTGACCTACTTAATCCTAATTGTGATTAATGTAAGTTATTTTGGGAAATTGGAGCGAAAATGTGATCCCTAGAACAAAGGTGCTAGTGTGTGAGTAGATAGTGTGGTAACCAGAGTTACCGGGGTACTTTGGGGTGCATTATTTTGCATGCATTAGTGCATGATTAACTATTAAATGTGATAAACATATTGATATTGTAATTACAAATATGTTATGTGGAACGGGTGAGACAGTCTATGTTGGAATAAATACGATAACACCGAAAAGATCTACCGATAGAACCGAAGGGCCGTAGATCTGTATATTTAAGGTGGGTGTATATCTTTATATGTTTTGAAAATGCTATTATAAGATAATAATAAATGATAGAATTTAATAGTAATTCTCTAGGATTATGTGCTAGATGCTTATGTGATTGAATGATGTTTTGTACTATGTATTGTGTATTATGAAATGTCGCGCACTATTTGAGACAGGGGCATCGATGCCTGATTACTAGGCGTGCAGTTGTGTGCTAGCACTGTGGTATTCCCAAGAGATTCAGGAGACACGGATCCATGTGGGATGGATTACCCGATGAGGGGTAGTATGGCTATGATGTGGCTTGTGAATTTTTTGGAATTGGATTGATGCTATTGTTTGATACGTGTATCTTCGTAGTATCTACCTACTTCAGTATATTACTATCATTTCCATTTTATATACAGCATATATACTCACTGAGTGCGTGGTTTAGCTCACACCCCTATAGCTTCTTCTTTTCAGGTACTATACAGGAAGATGCAGATAAATCCACTATTCAGTCGATTGAGTCTTGTACAGCGTTAGTGTGATATCACTCAGGTTGAGTGTCGGTAGGATTAATTGTTGGGTTGTGTATTATATTTGTGAGAGATTATTATAACAGGTTATTAATATACATTTGTAAATAGATTCAACAAGCATACTTTGTGATATGTGCTATGTGGGTATGGGATTTGTATATGTTTATAACCTGGGATACAAACACTTGGTACATATGTTTTATATATGGTACAAGTTATGAGACATATTTTACCATCATCCTTAATGACTAAGGTAATGGGTGGTATTGTTGCACCTATGAGATTATTTAATGTTTGATTTGTCCAAATTATAATAATTGTAAACAGGTGTATTAAAAATCTAGTCGCATCTCATCCTTGAGAGACCGAGATGGGGCGTGACAATTAAACAAGCTTGATTTATTAAATGCTTAAAGTATTCATTTTTAAGTATTAAGTGATGTTATCAAACAGCCCCTTAATAACACTCTTGAATTTTTATTTTTTTAAAGTAACAAAAGTTTTTAAAAAAACAAAAAATCCTTTGTTTTTGTACCAAAAAAATAAAATTTTAAAAAGCAAAATAAGAAAGCTAGTGTTTTTTTCCCTAAAAAAAAAAAAAAAAAAAAAATCTTTTTTGAAACAAACAACATTTTAAATAATAATAAACACACATATAGACTAATTTATCTATCTATACTATTTATAAATGTAAATATTAGTAAAAAAAATTATTTTTTTATTTTATCCCTAATATTTATTATAAAGTCAATAATAGTCATATATTAGTTCCCTCTAATTTTTATTTTCTATACAAAAGATATCTAAATTCTTTTGAACTCTTTTACTAATAATATTTGACTTATAAATTTGATATTATTTTCATTCAATTTTTTTTTCCTATACCTATCTGACTTCTAAATTCTTTTAGATCTTTTATTAACTGTATTTGATTTTTAAATTCTTTTGAACTCATTTATTAGTAGTTCACTTACATACAACTTTTCGTATCTATGTCTATATTTACATGAAAAAATAAAGTTCAATCTATATTCTATTACTCATATCTATGTCTATATTCATATGAAGAAATAAAATTCAATCTATATTCTATTACTCTATAGTCCAATATATGTTATAGTTGATTTTTTTGGTATACAACAATATTGTATTATTACAATAGAAACAATAGTATTGCAATTTAATCAATTTCTTGGACAAAAAATATAATAAATTTATAATTTTAATTAGATGTGTAAATATTCAATATTGACAATTTTACAATAAAGATTCACTATAATCAAAAGAGGAAATATCTAAGTAGTATGAGAGGTACCTATATAAATAACATATTAGATACTCGAAGAAGGATAAAATAGATCAATAATTATATTTGAAAATAATTAAAATAAAAATTTCATAATTTATTATTCAATTTAATTACACATATAATTTAATTTTTTTATAAAAAAAAATTATTTAAATATTTTTATGTGCAACACACGTCATGCATTGTTAGTACACTAAAAAATAAACATATGCATACTAATACACCAAAATACAAATGTACACACACTAATACACCAAATCACATACACTAAGGTATGTGAGTGTAAGAAAGAGTGTATTTTTTTACTGTATTAGTATGTATAAAACACATACACTAAGGTATGTGAGTGTTAGATATAGTGTATTCACACTAATACACCAAAACACATACACTAATGTATGTGAGTGTGGAAAGAGTGTATTTGTTCAGTGCATTAGTGTGTGTAAAACACATACACTAAAGTATGTGAGTGTGAGAAAGAGTGTATTTTTTTAGGATATTGGTGTGCGCGTGTGTGTGATTGTGTGAGATTGAGTGAGAGTGTGTGTGTTTTTTTGTTGTATTAATGTGTGTATGCATATTTTTTTTATTAAAAGTAATTTTGGATTCAAAAAAATACTTTGAGAAAGTGTTACTATACGGAGGCACTGTTTTTTTCTTTATCTTTACCCCTTTTGGGATAAATAATTATCCAGTCTTTCATTCTCCAATTTCCATTCATTTTTTTCTTTCTCCTTTTTTTTTTCTTCTGTTCAAATTATACCTTAAGATTAGGAACGAGAAATGTCACAATAGCGTTACAGCTCTGGTGGTGTTTGGTTGTCACACTAAGGGGAAGCCGGATTGGGGTATATCTCCCTTAAATCCAATGTTTGGCAAAAAAAAAAAAAAAATCTCAGACGAAATTATGAATTTGAGCCCACAATCATCATTATAAATAATCTCATATATATTCGTTTATCAAAACGCACCTATGAGACGGTATTCAAATGGATGAAATTGGATTAGCCTTAAACCAACAGCTAAGATCTTGATTTATATATATATATAATAAAACAAGAGTGTGTTTGAATTTTATCTCAATCATATTTTCTCTCTCAAAATTATCATCAATCACTTACCTCACCCATCATCCATTTGTCAGACTCAAACGTCAAATCACAGCACTCATTTCTATCACATATTTAATTATTTATATATTTCCTCCCTAAAAATATCACACCACTCATTTCTATTATATATTTAATTATTTAATATTTAATTAATTTGTAGTTAATATATTTTGAAAACATTTAATATAATGGATCAATTTTTTGGACGTTTGAATTTTATATTTTATCGTATCTTCAGGCACGGGTTATGACTAGTATATATATATCACGAATAAAACTAGGAGCTCTATTTGTCCCGTTTCATTTTTCTTTTTTCTTAGTAATTTAGACTAGAGCAACTAATTAGATGCAAGAGAATGGCTAAGGAATTTCCATTTCCAAATTTGGAATTTAGAATTTAGAATTAGAGCAAGTAACATTATTAATTCACTTGTTATCTTCCTTAGTCAGCCACCATATTAGATTTTCTCACTGGTTATTCCCTTGCTAAATCAAGAAAAAATGGTTTTTTTTTCTGTTGCAACACAAACAAATCTGGAAACTTTTACTTACTTCAACGAGCAATTTAGAAAGCACAAGTCACAGCAAAACGCGGTTAGTTTAAGCTTGGTTTTTTTTTGTCACTATTTGTGACTCTTACGAGAAAAGGCTAGTAAGATTCGAACCCGCAACCTAAATGTCCAACAATGCGATGGCCATTAGGCCGACCACTGATTCTCAGTTTAAGCTTGGTCTAAAATCATGATTTCTAGACAACCTTGTCGTTCAAAAGTTTTCCTTCTTCATCTTTTAAGATACCAATAACATGAAAGATGATATTTCATTTGAGTTATTTTAGGTACAAGCTCACACGTAGATGTAAATTAAAACAACAATACAAACAATGTTGAACGTATACGAACAACAGTAGTGATGACAGACGCTGCCCAGTATATCAGACCATTGCATAAATGCCATTTGAAGAACATTAGAATTTATCTGCTGAACAGCTTACGGATTTTGTTAGTTACGAAGCATTAATGCAGCTTCAGATGTATACAATACTGACCAGGACAACAGGAGAGTTATTGCTCATAGCATGATCCTGGACCAATAGGAGGACTTCGAGCATAGAAATTTGTAACCGGAGCAGCTGGAACCCCACGCCTAGTCAAGAGGCACCGGAAGTATTGCAATCTGGGTAATGCAGTTTGATTAATGTTTCCTGTAGATGTGGCCTTCCTATTGCTCCACAAGCGCTCTACAGAGAAGGAGAGTATACATAGCAAGTTTAAAGCTGGAAAGAAAAGGCCAAAAGGAAGCGTGGGAGAGATAAAGAGCAAAACTAGAAAACAAATTCGGGTAACCAGCATTGCTCACAACTGCAACTATGCTTAATAATGCATGACTAACAACATCAAGAATAGGTGGAAAAACAAACGCAACTGAACACCGTCTAGCTAGTCATGTCTCAAACAAGATGGAAGTAATACTTCTGCACAATAAACTCAAATCACATGCACTCAAAAATCCTGAAGCCTAACTCTTTGGGATTCGCTAAATGTATTATGTTTTCTCCAATATAAATATGCTCCAAGTGCAGCTGTATCCCTGGTAATATTCAATGTAGTGATGTTCATAATTTAAGCACAATATAACAAGTAGGGGTGTAAAATGAACAAAGCCACTCGAGATTGCCTCACATTTGATTTGTATGGAGCTCCATCAAGCTCGATTGTTAGAGAACATGAGCTGGATACAAGCCGACATTGAGCTCGTTTATGAGCTGAGTATGAGCAGCCAAGTGCTCAATCACCTAGGTTCGCAAGCCTATGAGATGTGGCCACTTGTTGGTCAAAGGCATTGAGTACCAATTTGTTTTTTGTTCAGAGCGGCATTCCACTACCAGCATTTATCTACCAAAAGTCACTCGACAATGATATCTTCTGGTTTTGTAAAAAGCAAACCAATTTCTTAATACATATCTGACCTCGGTATGTAAATGGACGTTAACTATGAACTGCCAGTCACATCAGCCAAATAGTTTACTATTAAATTTTATGTTCCCTTTTGATGTGACAATTATTTGAGATGAAAATATCCTTCACCTTTAGCTTGAATGCCCCCAGTAACCTTGCATGGTTTTGTGATGACAGAGAAAAGCCCCTATCAAACAACACTCCTCCTTAGTGTCTAAGGGAATACAGTGAAAATGCACAAAGCCTATTTTCTTCCTTTCTCCTTTACTTCTTGGTCAACCATAAGTAATATGAGGGCCCTTCTTCTCCCTAGGATGCCTCTTGCATTTCTCCAATACTTCCTCCATTTTTGTCATAAACAGAGGTTTTTAGGTCATATACATCTGTTTTACACTAAATAGCACCTGAATCATTTCTAGCATCAGCCCCATTCAACTTGAACTAAAAAGAAAACTAAACTGCATATCCTTCTAGATACCAATTCAAATTTTGAAGACCACATCACCACGTTCCTAAATCTGTAACAGGGCTTGGACATTCCAAGGACATGTGATTAGCCCATTCCTATTCTATATTGAATGCGAACAGAAAATATAAAAGGGTGACGAAAGAAAGCGAAGAAAGAAGAGGATCTCTGTTGAGTTACTAGAGAAGAGGGTATAGTTACAAAGAGCATAGCGGATCGGAGGTCAAAGAGATCGCAGACGGAAGAGAACAAGAAAGAAGAGAAAATTCCCTATGATAGAAAAGAAGCAAATGTGGGATTAATTGAGAGAGAATGTCAAAAGTCTTTGCATTAATTCCTAAAAGTAATCCAACAAATTCAGCATGAAACTACGGTCCCGTTTGGTAACATTTATGTTTTTCGTTTTTCGTTTTTATTTTGATATTTAGAGAAAACTAGAAAAAAAAAACTCGTTTGATAACCGTTTTTTTTTTTTTTTCTGTCATCGTTTCGTAAACGCGGGGCGATTTTCAAAAACGAGAAAAAGACATTTTTCGTTTTTTGATTCTGTTTTTTGTTTTTTAAAAAATCAAAAACCGTAAACGTTACCAAATGAGCCCTACAGTGTTCACTTTTTTTTGGTAGCAGCCCTGGTTTATAGAACCCTAAAGAAGCAATATTATTTGAAAAAAGATATCTACCCTCAACCACTTCTCTTGCAACACAAATGATTTATATAAATACTTCATCCATGGGCATACCTGCAGCTGCAGCTGCTCGAGGCCATATTGTTTGCTGCACATTTGAGGCATCCCCTCTCTCATCCCACATGCAAACTTCTCCTCCAAGCACAAGTTCTTGTTCAGAAGCATCATCTATTCCTTCCAGTGGCTCAGCATTGTAAACATCATCCCAAGGGACATCTAAGTGATCAAGATACCAAAAACCTTGATTGCTGAAAATGCATCTAAAACCTTGTGCAACAGCTTTTGGACAAACACCACCGCCCAACCTACATGAATACATAGAATTCCTTGTACATGAACCACACAAACTATATATTATTATCGTTCTGAAACTGCATACATGTGTTAGATCAGAAACTCACCAATTATGCACCACCGTCTGTGGATTAAGTTTCGATGCAAATGTGTTGAAGGTTTCTTCCCTAAATAAGGAGAAGCTGAATGTCAGATCTTCCTACATATATTTAAATACTAGGGGAGTATTGAGAACATACAATTGGAGGAAGAAGACATATATAAACCTACTTTATCGTGAAATCCTTCAGCAACTTGTAAAAAATTGCGTCTATATTGATTACTTTCTGATAAATGATTAATGGATCTTATCCAAAAAAAAAACTTTCTGATTAATGTGGCCTTAAATAACATAGAACTTTTATGTTTTCAACTTTCAACTATGCAATGTTTCTTATTTCCAAATCAGCTGTGGACCTCCCGAAAGTTCCTACAAGTTACAAATAGGAAGGACCAATAAAAGAACTCTCCTCAAGATTTTCTTGCAAAAGAATGCAAGGCAAAAATAACAATTGTTATTTCAGCATGAATCAAGGAATACCAGTTGACAGGGGTCCAGTTCTTCGATATTGCTATTTCTTGAGCTCTGAGCACAAAATACTGATATGCATCTGTAGCAGTCATGTTGTGATCTTGAAGCCTGCATACAGAGAAGTTTTGGTTCATGTACCACATGAATCACAGATGCAGCAGTAATTATCTGAGTCTCAGAGGACCTTTTATTAGAAGAAACAAAAAAAAAAACCTTGACAGTTCTGCTTTTCCAGAACACAATTAAAGATACAAGGGTCACTATGAGGTTGAACGAAAGGAAATCAAAGATTCCCATATTCAGCACCATGATCAAAGCCTTCAATGTTCAAGAAGGAACAACCATTCTTCAAGCTATCATTACCAAATTGCTTGACCATTTGTACAAGCAGATGGTAATAAAGATATATCACAAGATATTTGATGAATGCAATAAATTTTAGATGATGCAGCATAAATCCCCCATCCTCAATTTTATGCATCAGCCAAACTATACCAGCAGGGACAGCAGGTGATGCACGCACAAGAGAGACTAAGAATGTCATCGTAGCACAAAAAACAGACCAACAACCTGATCAGCACCTCCGAATGTGGCAAGTTCATAAATTGGCTCATAGCTGAATTCTCAAGTTAGGAGACATGCAGGCTAACATTGCGTCTCCTTGCAGTTACAGCCTGGGAATCCATAAATTCTGTTCAATGGTGATTATAAAGTCTTAAAGAGTCATTATTAGGAGGGGTATTTTTGTTACTTCTTTTCATTAACAAATAGAAGGCAGGTCTACTCATTCTAGGGTCTTTCCCTTCTTTCTCTTTCTCCCCTCTATCTAAAAAGAAAATTACACACACAAGCAGACTAATAAATGTGGATAATCAGAAAAGTAGAAGCAAACAAAGCAAGGTTCAATCTGAACATGTTATCACCGCATCCAATACCCTAGTTCTAACCTAACCCTATTCTTTCCTCTTTATATTCTATGTTTTCTCTCTTTTTATCCATTTTATATCTGTAATCACCCAAAACAACACGAATCTCGACATATGAGTAGGTGCGCAACCTGAGGAATCGCTGTCCCAGAAAAAGTCTGCTTGGGCTTTGTCTTCTTAGTCGATGGTTTAAAGAGTTTTTGTAGTTAGTCCATTGCAGAGCCTCGGTGCATAGATATGGCTTAGACCACTTGTGAGACATCATGGGTGAGTTCATTGCTACAGAATTGGGGATTTCTAGTACAAACTACAAAGCCTACAACGATGCATCATCTAATCAGAATGATATATATAACAATTGTAAGTATACGAACAACTATAGCACGATAAATGATACGTTTCTTACAATTCTTTTTGGTACAGTGAGAAAATAATACGTATCAAAGAATGGTATCATTTTTAACTATGTCGACACAATCTTAAGTTACATTTTGATACAACTGAAAAATTACAAGCACAAGATCAGTTTTTTATTTTCCACTCTAAGCAAAAAAATCAATATCGTTTTGCAAGACTATTTTTTACCCTGAATAGTGAAATAGCATCGTTTCCTATAGTATATTTTTCCTTTTCTGGTTTGATCTCAAACAGACGAAGCCCATGATCATCATTATCTTCTCCTGCAATCCTTTTCTGATTCTTCTTCTTCTTCTTTCTCTTCAACGAGGTGAAATCCAAGCTATATTTCAATTTTTGTCTCAAAGACGAAGGGTTATCTCTTTCAATCTCTGTCATAAACATGCAACGCACGAAATGACAACTGAGTTGAAACGATATTTATATTATTTTAGATACTATATATATGTCGCGTGAAATCTGTGTGCGTGTGCATTTTTTAAATTGAGCATATCTTGCAATACACTATAAGTTACGCACATGACACATTATTTTTTAAAAAGGATACAAATTTTGACAACCTTGATTGCAATTGCATACTTTAGGAGAGAGCCAAGTATATTGAAGTTTATTGTCACTTCTTCTGATATATGGTGATCTGGAAGCAAGTTGTTATATCATTTATGATTTCCAGTGCTCAGTTCGGAGATATGCATAACAAGGATTAAGGCATAGTTATTGGATCTTTGCCACAAGCAAGACATGATTAATATACATACTCCACCTTGACGGGAAGTGTTAAGAGTAGTTAGTAGAGTTACTATTGTAACTTCTTATTCTTTAATATATAGAGCTGGTCTACCAATTCTCAGATAATCTGATCACTCTTCACTCTCTCTCCAAAATTTGAACATATAGAAAATCATCGTTATCTACTTCCAAAATGAACATAGGCATGCCATCTCTAGCAAATAAATGATTCTGCAGTACAATATTCATAATACTGTAATAACCAAATATGACACATAATACAAAATATGATTGCTCTAGGAAAGAGAAAACTCTAAACACAATATGCAAAGAATCATACAAACTGACATCTAAGAACACCAAGAACTGACAAATGTTTTGCAATCTCTTCCCTTCAACTGATAAATACACCAAATACTGTGCTGCTCAATCAATACATTAGAAGCTATGGTAGCTCGGAGGTGAAAGTGCTATCTGGCATCTAAAAGGTGGGTTGCAGTCAGAGATTTAATTCACAGCACTAAAAACCCAAATAGGTATAATTTCAACACAATCAGTGAAGGATAATTTTGTATGAAAGGTGAGGGATATACCATTGCTTCACATGCGGAGTGGAGTTCCAACAATCTGCAGACCATTTCAAAACAATAAACATCAGAAGATGGCAAAGCACAAATTTAGAGTAATACGGTTCCATAGTGAAAAAGTTACATGTTTGAGAGAGAGAGATATGTTTACACCTACACACTAAACACCAAAAATTTTAGCAAATACTTTTTATTATGTTGTCAGCAAGCTGTTGGGTTTACCTACGCATTTCCTCAATCAACTGTATAGGCTTACACAATCATCATATAGTAATTGTTTCAATGGTTAAGAAAGATTTTATAAACACAGAAAGACAACTGTTAGAAAATGGCTGGATCAGGAAAATTGTGGTCTCCAATAAAGATTAAGAAACATGCTTCTGCTAGAATTTGCAAAATGTCATTCAGAGGTCTTATAGAGTCTCTCCACTAGATGCATCACTATTATTCTGTTTTGCCTCTCTTCACAGTTCCATTATATTATGACCCAAAAATTAGGAAATAAAGAACTAAACAAGTTTACATAACTACCTCCCCCTTATCAAATAGTAGTGAAAAATCCTACCTACAATTCTCAAGCTAGACATAGAATCCCAGAAATTTTAGACTCCTTAACAGATTAAAAGTTGGGCAGAATTGATGGAAAATGCTGTTAATCATCTTTGTCCTTTAGCATAATTCATTAACCTGAACACATATGAGATACCCTATTTTGTACTCTAAAATGTCATCACAGGGATGTGCACAAAGCGAAGAGAAGCTTAGGAATATTCTAGGAATTTACTAGCAGTCGCCCCATGCAATGCACGGAATTTTTAATATCTCTCCACCGCCACCCCTACCCCCTCCATGGCCTATCATTATTAGAAACGTATTTATTAACGTGCTAAATAAATATTCCAAAAAAATTAAATGTGAAGTAAATAATAAAGATGATGATAGTTTTAAAAGTAAATTAGTTATCAAAAAACTGGAAGGGATTACATAGGACACATGCCGGTATTCAATTGGATGAGCCTCATACATTTCTACTAAATAATTCAAAATTAGGAGAAAATAGAATTTTAGGAGGGAAAGCTTCCCATGTCCTCTCTCCCCTAAATTGATTTTTACAGTGCATATTATGGATAGCGGACCAATCTTTTAAGAAAGAAACAACACTATCTAAATAAAAATCCAGGTCTTCAATTTTACACCTTTTCTTGCAGAGGATCTCTGAATGTGCATATTTTTAATTATTCAAATCTAAAACCATTATTCCAGTACATTACAGACTGACAGGAATCCTGAGCTCAAATCGAGAAAACAAGAGATATTGTCTCTCCTTTCAGTGATTAATAAAATTCAGCTTAAACATGAAAAGAGAAATTAGAAGCGGAGGTCTTCTCAAAAACAAAACCATTTGAAACTAACCTGTATTAACCTCATCACCGCCTAAGTGGAAGAGCCCGAAGGGAAAAATTTTCCTCATGTCTGCAAAAGAAAAATTAATATCAAGGGACAATACAGCGGAAAAAACCGAACCACGTCACCTAAAGCAAAGAAGCTATTCTCAACAAACACTGAAATTTCAGTCTTTCAGCAAATAAGAGAACAGCATGAATACGTTTAAAAGATAATTGAACTGGTACAAGCTGTACTTTCCCATAAATGATTTAAAACTTAGGGGTGGTACCTTAGGTCAAACTTAAATATAGGCCTAACACCAATCAACACGACCACCAAGACAAGTGTTAGGAAATAATGCTAATAAAGGAAACAGCACAACTTGGACAAGGATACCTCGAGTGGATCAATAACAATATGCATACACCACATATGGAATAACAGAACCAATTTGGTTACTCAAGTGATTATCTATTATCAGAGAGACTATTCCCTCACTAAACTAATATGATGAAAGGGTTGATTTAGGCATGTGATGTACAGTAAACTATTTTCAAATTTCAAAATCTCTACAAACATTTCTAAGCATTGAGTTAGAAATTTTCTCATTGATGAATGCATCATATGCATGCTTGCATATGAATATGAATAGGGTAGTCCATTTTTTAGATCTATGAACATTGAGCCACATAAAAAATACCAATACAATGTCATGAATCATAACAAGCATCCTTTATGTACCAACACTAAGAACTTTGAAATTCCACACCCAGCACTGCCAGGGAAAACTTAATGACATAGACAAACCTGTCAGTATGCCAGATACCACATCAAAAGTGAAGTTTTTGGTAACATCCAGTGGCTCTCTACAGGAAGGCGAAGGCCAAAGATCTGGATATCCAGAACCCCTACAAGGAAAGCAGATCAAAGTTTTACCTTGGAGGATACTGTTCAGTAAATAGTTCAAAATATGGGTTTGATTGGAAAATGAGAATGGACAATCTTTTGAAGCGTCAAAGCCTTACAAGCAGCTCAGTCTAGTTTTCCAAAAGTAAAAGGCATTTAAAAGATAAAATCACTGGAGAATTATTGGGTGATTAGAAGTGATAGATCATCCAGCATACTTTTGGTAGATTTCATTGTTACCATGAAACTGCTAACTAAACATAGAAGTAACACATTGTTTCCAGTTGCATGATATTATTCATGCATGATAAAATTTCTGAAACACACCTGCAAGATTGTGCAAGATTTTTTATATAAGGGCATGTATGCCTGCGCATACATAGCCACAGCTGACAAAAATTTTTATTTTTTTTTTATAAATTTTTTTTTATTTTGGGGAAGGGGAAGGGGCAGGGCAACTTGAACCCTTGACATGCATATCCACAGCTGACAAAAGTTGAAACAATCAATATCGCCCTTAATATATACACATCCATTAATATAACTACTAATCTTTATGCCTAGGCATAAGAAGATATCCTGCTTTGGGAGGCTCTTTTGTCACAAAAGCATTAACAGAAAGAGGATTATCGAAATATAAATCCTTTTGAGAGATACATGCAACATCAACGCTGCAACAGGCAAGGACCCCTACACAACCTGAATACTCCATTGTAAAAAAATTCAAGCATTGAATGAGACCAAAAAAAAGTTTTCACCAAAAGTACTTTACCATGATTCTGCATGACCAGGGATGTCTATCTCTGCCATAACATTGATACCTGCAGATAATGATTCAACATAATTAGCTAACAAGAGTAACTCGAACTTAACGGATAACTAAGTTTGTACTGATACGTAACTCACTAAAGCCAAAACTTGCAAGAAAACGACAAATTGGCTCTACAACACACTTTAAGGGTGTCACATACCTCTCATTTTGGCAAAGCTTTTTATTATTCCATATCAATGGGACATGAAACAGAAAATTCCAAGTTAGCATATTAAATCAGAAAAGGCATGAAATGCAGGAATGGAAAGTATAAACAGACAGCATAAGTAACCCATATTAAGGGGCTAGAAATACATCAATTAATGAAAAGCAACAACTGGGGGCAAGTTTAAAACAATGCATCAATTTTTTTTCTCTTTTCTTTTTTTTGTCTTGGCATTATGTTTTCATGTCAATCAAGTTCAAAAGAGAGATCCAGATTTTAGTATACTCAGATGGTAGAGCTACTACTTAGTAGAAAGGAACACCATAGTGCCCCAATCCTCAGTATCAAACCACCCCACGAGTAACGCAATGATATTTCTTTTGCACTGCTCCAAGATGGGAATAAAGGATCAGACTCATAACATGCTGAAAGGCAAAGAAATACACTATCCAGGACCCTCTTCTTACATGGCCACAAAATCTTTAAGAACATGAATTCGATAGAAAATTTTCTTTTAAAAACTGAAGAACTAAATGGTTGCATTCCATTCCATTCTATTACTCAAGAACAGTGTGTATGGGAAATCGCAGCCTAAAAGCTATTATACATGGCATGGTTCTTTAAGTTGTTGAATCAAAACAATTTAGAAGCTATGTAAATCCATGATAGAGATTAACGATGCTTCATAGTAAGAATTTTTTTCCTTCACTTTGCCAATATTGTGATTTCCAGGATATATGAATACAACACAATTAGACTACATTGTAGAATTACTTAACCACCAATTTTTTCCACTGAAAGCACTCTTCAAAATATTTCCCTTCTTTTCGAAGTCAAAATTACCACTGCCATACATCTTAATAATTAATCTATACTTCCAATGCCATATATAATATATAATTTGGTGCAAAGCTGATGAAAACTTAATTCTATCTCTATATTAAATGAGTTAAGCATTAAAAAATCTGAATTCATAGAAACTGGATTTAGTCCGAAAGAATATTAGGAAACTTACAAACAATCTTACAACCATTCAAGAGTTACACGAGTTTTAAGTAAGATATAGAAGTCATACTTAACAATATCATAAGCATCCTCAATTGTGTAGCGCTCCCACTTTGAGTACGCTCCTTTCCACAAATTTGGATACGTAGGTACTTCTAGAGGAAATGACTCTTCATCTATGATGTGCCAATGAAGGACATTCTACTGAATGCAAATCTCAGAATCAGAATTACATGCAGGTTTATTAGAGAATAGAGAAGGGATTATAATCAGAAGAATACTTGCAATGAGTTCTAATGGTGAAGAGCAAGCAGGTCAAGAAGTACCAAGTAAGATATCTTACAAGTTTAGCATATGACATTGAGTCAACTATTTGCTTTATTATCTCTACTGGTAAATAGTGCCTTGAAGTATCTGTCAAACAATGAATATAAGATGAACATCAGCAAACATACATGTCTAGGAGTATAATAAAATCAGCCAATTGAATTTCCCAATTAACAAAGAATTGTGGCTTACCAAGCAAAAGCCCCCGATATCCAAATCTTGGCTTATCTCTAATATACCATGGCGCCTTATACAGTTGTACGGTTTTAGTTCCATAATCAAAAGCACATAATTGGCTGAATGTCTGCAAATTAGAATCCAACAAAAGAAGAAATGAGTGGAGGAACTGCATTTCATCATTGAAGCTTCTTTGGAACAATAACATGTTACTACAACATATCTCGAAGCCTATGGTTTGAAAGTAAAAGCATACCAATCTGATTGAGTTATCTTGGGTGCAATTCTCAGACCATGAAAATGGGCCAATAATAACTATAAATGCACATATAATGCTTTGCAGGACTCAACAAATAAACTGTCATCATGTTGATATAACATGGTAAAATGCTTTTGGGCATTGTCAGTTATAGACTCCTTTTAATGAAAAAACTTATACTGAATAAAAAAGATGGTCCTTTTCGAAAGAACCATCTTTTTGGAATACCATCCTACTTAGATGTTCAACAGTTCAGCACAAGCAGCATAAGGAATCTGTGAGAGTCAGATCTGGAAGGGAAGGATATTAAGCAATTTAAGTCATTGAATAAACCAATATACCCGGATGCAACATGTGAGCCTTGAGTTTAGAATTCAAATCCAACAAGAACACTTATCTGATATGTATGTTAGCATGTCCACACTGAAAAACAAATACAGTAAAGGGAAGGTAGAAGATGTTAATACTTGATACCAATGAAGACAGTATCAAACAAGCTTGAGATAATGAGAAGGGGTTGCCCCACCTCTATTATGAAACAAACTAAAAGAAAATAAACAGTACAAAGGTGACAAAGTGTTTTCGTGTGTGTGTGTGTGTGTGTGTGTGTGTGTGTGTGAAAGAGGCAGGCAGAGAACTGTATGAGCACATGTAAAGGAGCCAGAACACAAATGAACAGTCCCAGTTAGTACACAATTACAACCAGGCAAAGTATCTCAAATTTGTCAAACGACGTCGTAGACATTGCCATGCACAATTGCTTCTTTATCCAGTGAATATAATGAGATTCTACAAAGTTGCTGATGATCCTGTTGTCAAGAAACTCTCCAAGAGAATTGAGTTGATAAAAATCAAACATTCTAGTCTACTCATCACAGTCCGGCTAAGCAATCTAAATTAAATGACACATTTTTGGATAGCTTAACAGACCACTTCTTTGATTTCTGGTGCATCAGTGACAGTGTTAAAGAAGGGTTAGCGACTTGGTGTTGTAACAAACTACCATCATACAGCATCCCTCACAACCCACAGGAGTGGTATTGGTAGCTTCTGGGTTCCCATCAACAAGCCCACATAGGTCATCAACACAAACATAACTATTCATTAACACTTTAAAATCGGAAAGTATTAGTTTCACATTGATTCCAATAAGAATTTCAATGATTAGGCAAAAATCCCAAATTAACTGATCCAAACAACACAAAGAAATGCTTAACAGCTTAAATTAGGAACCAACTTTGATATGAAGTTGTCAGAGTTCATAACACATAGTACACTTGCATGCGCGCATACTGTATGCATGAGAAGAAAGAGAAAAAAATGACATGTCTACAATTTTGTACATACTTAGGATATTTATATTGTTTATCCTACGTACTTAAACTCAGACATGGGCAACAAGCTCGCCCATCCACAGAGTGATTTCTCATATGACAGAAATCCAATTTAATACACAAAACCCAGCAATTAGTTTTTATGCTCGCTTAACATGTTTGTATATACTTTGATCTGCCACTGTTAGTGGCCGTGAATGCATCATACATACCTCTAACCCACGTACTGCACCATAAACAGAATTTGCCTGCAGAAAATATGATATCAGCAATGCTCAGCAAAACCATATAGGATGAAGAATATAATTACACAGTACACACATTTCTACTTGCATCAATCTGAATTGATAATCTACTCATATTTCGAACAAAGAAGACATAAATCATATTTCGAACAAATAAGAAATAAATACATTGCTGTTGAAGAGTTTACTGACTTGTGTGCAATGCCAAATTATGAGTTGAAGAATAGTGAATGTGCACGAACTAGCTTAATGATGTGATGATTGTACTGACCAGCTTAAATAACCAATTTCACAAAACACATATCAAGCAAGGAAATAACAAAAGAGATTAAGTTCTTTACAGATTACCCGTAAAACCCTCTCTTCATGGATGTCCAATAAAAATCAACCACCACATCATCGAACAAAAGAGAAGTGGGACCAGAACAAAGAAGAGAGGACCGAGTCTCAAAATGTGGTACCTTCATGGCCCCCCCTCCACCTCTTTGTCGGCAGCCCTTCCCCTCCACCTCTCATCAGTAGTCCCTTCTCACTTCCTGCTGCCATCAGCCTCCAGCTACCACCACCCCAACCCTCTCTCCACTGCTGAAATCCCGGTCTCCCACTCCGCACCCACAACTCTCTAAGGTACTCTCTAACCACTGCCTTGCCCAAACCCAACCACCCCCAACCGACCACCTCCACCTGAAATCCCACCCCAGAAACCCAAAACCCAACCGTCCTTTTATGTGATATATATATTTAGAGCGGGGGAGAAAAAAATGTTAGTGGGGGGGCTCTCAGCAGTCGATCAATAACACTTGTGAACAGAAAATTTGAGGCGACAGATCTCAAGATTCAATTGTCTATAGTTTTTGTACCTAATTTGATTTCTATACATTTTCAACTTCTTTGAAACAGCTCTTCATGTTGGATATGCCAATGAAAAAGGATTTCACCTAATAGTTGCTAGCAAAGACTGTAAAGACACCGTGGTGGCGCTGTTTTTGTCGATGTTGATGGTGGTGATGACGGTATGGAGGGAGAATGGGGGTTTCTTTTGAAAATATAAAAGTGCAGGAGAGAGAGAGAGAGAGAGAAGAAAGGTCCAAGTTTTTTTAGACTTTCTCTCTCCATCTGCCTTTTCCCTCATTGGTGGATGATTTGGCCAATTCTGATGGGATATCCATAAAGAAGGATTTTACGGGTAATCCTTAAAGAACTTAATCTCATAACAAAAAATTCCAAATCGTAGAGAGATAATGCTTTGTCATCCCTCAGTAATTTAATTTTAGCAGCACACTTGCCCTATTACACTAATTATATAAACCTCAGGATTCTAAATTCTTAATAGAAATTGTAACAAGGATACCTAAGTTAGTATTTCTGGTCTTCAGAAAGAAGATATGCATTCTAATAAACAAACACTCAAACAGTAATCAATAATGTTTTGGTGCATAATAACAGGTTAACTGGAAATTTGTTTGGACATCAAATGTATCTGTCATCTGTTGCCTCTTCTAGACCAGTAGAGTTTAGAGTGGACTATGGAGCAAATGCCCCCTTTTTGTGAAATATAAAGAATATGTACCCCAAAGGAAATTTAGGCACCTGCTATAGAATATCCGGTGAAGCTAGAATAATGGTAGAATATAAAGCAGATATTCTAACTTTATCATGGGGCCTTATGTGGTGGCCAAAGTGACAGTTTTAAATGGCTCAGTGGAAGATCTTTAGGATGGCTATTTAATGCTGAGTCCTTTTGACCAAAAGGGAAATTTTGGGGCAGGATATGGACATCACCAGTGGGCGTTAGTTTTCCCTTTTTTCACTTCTCCCAGGGCAGAAAAATCAAGCACTAGATTTTTGGCTTGTAACCAGCTATAGAACATTTTACGGTCGCATGTTATTGAAATCGATAAGTTTGTTATCATTCTCATTTTTTGTGCATACTTCTGCTCCCCTGTTTTCCAACTTTTTCCTTTCAGAGTAAACCACTCCCCCCACCCCCCCACAACAAAAAAAAACGGAGGTGGGGGCAACGACTGCCTCGTATTTAGGAAAATTAGGAACACTGCTCCCCTTTTCAAAATTTCCATACACCAAAATCATCAAAGGGACAAAAAATGCGACCATTGACTTTAAGAAATGAAGTGCATCTACTTCATCGTCCACTCACCAAACAATTTTATTTACTTTTCATTTTAATTCAGATTAATCCTACTTCTTTTCCTTTGTAGATGAGGTTTGGAGTTAAGACTAAAATATGGCCAGAATCGACAAGTTGCAATACAAAAGACCGGATAGAAGCATAGTAGCCATCCAATAACCAATAAAAAAACCTAAAATCAACACAATGTCCAAACATATAGGGGATTCTCTGTCCATATTTCTATTTTCTATGCCTAGAAGTCTAGAACAACAAACAACATAAATTTGCGACCAAAAGCTCTAGTCTCATTTACCTCAATAGTGACCTGGCTGATGATCGAACGGCCATCATTACTCGTCACCAGCAAAGAATAGCTCTCGTCAACACCGAGTTGAAGCTGTAAACAAAAAAAAAACTCAGAATCGCAAAAAACACCATCAACAAAATCACAGAATCCACTCAATTTCCTCAAATAATCCAAACTCACCTCTTCGTTTTTGGAATGAACAATAACTCTAAGCTTCTTAACATCATAAACAGTCTTTCCACTTCCTCCAAACCAAGCCAACCCAGAACTATGCTCAAATATAATCTTCCTGTATCTCTCAAACGCCTCTTCAACAATAACAGAACCACCGCCATTTCCACCACCTACGAGCGAAAGATTTGGATCCACAACGAGTGTTTCATTTCCGAAAGTGAATTCCGAAGGCAGAGGCCATAAATACACAAGAGAGTCATCGAGTTCTATGGTTGAATTGTGCCGTAAATTCCGAGAATCAACTAGAATAGATGAGAAAATCAATAATAGTGTACGTATGAGAGTGAGGAGAGATTTAGGGTTTGAGATTGAGAGATTGGAGGACATTTTTGGAGAGGGAATTGTTGGGATTGATCAGTGTTGACTCGTCTTGTCTTAGCAATAAGTAGATGGGTGGGAGTTGAGTGTGGGAAAACAGAAGGAGACAACGATTTGCTGGTGATGAGTATACTGTACCGTTACTAGTGTGTCTTACCTTTCTTTTTTTGCCTTTTTCAGGGTGTACGCAGCAGTTTACGTGCACACGGATAAATTTCTCACGATCTCATTTTAATATATTATTAATATTCAAATTCAAAATATTTGATTTTATCCGACATTTTTGAACTACTATTTGGAATTAAAAGTGTCTAACTTTCGAAGTCGGATTTTATAGGTTAGATTAGGTGTGTGAAAATAAAATAATACATAACAATAGAGAGTTTGAACTTTACTTAAATTATTTGTTTTATAAATCAATAAACTCGATACGATATGATTAATATCACAAAATTAATTAAAAAAAATACAAGATATAACATGTTTATATATTAATTATACACGATTTATGCAAATATGAATCAACTATAACATGATTCGTAAGAGCAACTCCAATCCTACTCAATAAAATAGTTATTCAAAATATATTTAAATATAATATTCTCTATTTTAACTAGTTATTTTTTCAAATTCACTCCAATCATGCTCTCTATTTTAGCTACTACTTCAACTAACTTTAACTAATTTTAAATAATATAATTCAAAAATTCAACTCAAAGTATATTATAATCATCAACCCAACTAAAATCATACCACAATAATAATTCTAATTAAACTTTAAATAATATAACTTAATGACAATTTAACACTTATCCACTTCAGATAACAAAAATCAATTACACAATACGTCTCAAATATTTACATTAATATTTATAGGGTCCTAAATATAAATATTCTATTATACATAAAAACTAAGTTAAGGAAGTTTTCAAAATTTGAGAGGGGGTTTCAGAATTTGTTTGGGGGTTCAGAATTTATTGCGGGGGGTTTCAGAACCTAGTTCACAGTAGCAGCAAGGATCAATAGTAACAACTGGCGAACAATTTCTCCTTGCCAGATCTGGTGAGCAATTTTGACTTCCTAGATTTTGGCAAGGTAAATAGTTAGAGCGTTGGAGCTGAATTTGTGAGGATTGCTCGCCAAAATAGCTAAAAAGAAAAAATAGCAATCCTCGTTAGAGATGCTCTAGGACACATATCAATAAACGAGCCAAATATGAATCATGAGTGAAACCTTGACAACATTCACAGAATAGAGATGTTGCTGCCAAGGTGTTATGGGCCTTCTTTATGAAGTTTAAATTATTATTATTTTTCAATATAATCATATTTTGGGTTTGGCCCCCTTGCAATTCTAAAAAAATTAAGGGTCTCTTTGGAAAAGTTTCGATTTTCAATTTTTTCGTTTTTGTTTTCAATTTTTTAAAAAACTTGAAATTTAAACTCGTTGGATAACTATTTTAGTTTTTTTTAATTGAAACCGTTTTTAAAACTGTCTCAGAATTTGAAAACAAAAAAAAATCGTTTTCGAAAAACAAAAAACGGAAACAGGAAGAAGGCATTTAATGAGATCCTACCATCGAGTCTTGTTAGCAACAAACTAAGCCTTCTACCAAAAAACCCTCCAGCAATAATATTTAAACCCTCAAATTTTTTATCATCTCATCGTCGCTCTCATCCTCTTCGTTCACAGCAGCAGCTTCGTTCAACGGTTTCGTTCACAACAGCAACTTCGTCCAGCAAAGGAGTTCCAGCAACAACTTAGTCCAGCAGAGGAGGTCCAGCTTCGTCTCTCTCGTCTAAAGCTCTCTCACCAAGGTAAGGGTCCTTAGATCTAGGATTTTTAGATCTGATTTTGTTTTCAATTTCGTCTCTCTCATTCCAACAGCTTTGCTCATTAGATATTGTGTTAGATATGATTTTGTTTTGTTCGTCTCTATTGTTCCAACAACTCTGTTTTGTTTCAGATCTGATTTTTATTTTGTTCCAGCAGCTTTGTTCCTTTTTTTTTTAACCCAAAGCCTTCCCAGAATTTTGGAATAAATGGTAGATGTAAGAAAAAAAAACCTGTCATATGAGCAACAAAGATTGTCATTTACTCATTTCATGGAGAATCTACCCAAAGCCTTCTCATAATTAGCGATTTCAATCTTGATATCAGAGACGGTTTATGCTTCACATGAATTTTTGAACATCTGAGACAACCAAACAGATTTTCTATTTTTACTTTTTATATAAAAAAAATAAAAACCATTTTAAATTTTATTTTTTATAAAATTTGAAAATCGAAATCGTTTCCAAACGCAATCTAAAGGTTTTTCAATTCTCTTGAAATGATAGAATTTTTGCGTACGTCAACAATTCTTTTCTTTCTCGTCCAACACTTCAAGTTTTAAATTTCAAAATGAATTTAATGTGTTGATAAAGACAGGTCTTCACAATTCTAAGAAAATTAAAGAATATTTTAATTATTTAAGAATTGGGAAGGGAGTCAAACCCTCAGATCTATGCAAATGGATACAGATTTTTTCAAGAGAAATGATGTGTTGGTCAAAAAATTTACTAAATATTGAATGGGTAGTCATTCAATAGTTGATGAGAGTTTATAGAACCTATTAATTTTATGATTTATATTAATTTAGAATTTAAAATTTGATAAAAAAAAATTGATGAATGTAACATTGTTATTTTTTTTAATAGGCAATCTTGTTAATACTTAATTTATAATTAATTGATTTGGCCTAATTTAGTTATTCACCTTTATCAGTCTCAATCAGGAGGTTAGGGAGTCATTTTCCTACCAACAATCATCGATTTTTTTGTGTCTCTATTTATAAGAGTATCTTTAATAGAGAGGTAATTTTGATGGGTCAATATGAACTCAACCCGAAAAAAAATAACGTTAGAGTTGAAATTTTTAGAGTTAGAGTTAGAGTTAGAGTTGAAATTTTTCAACTCGAATTGAATTCGGATAAAGTTTGAATTAAAAAATCTGGTTTACGGCTCAACTCGAATCGAACCCGAATTCATATATAATATTTTATATTTTATAAAAATAAAATATGAATATATTTTGTAATTATTATTATTAGTTATTTTTTGTATCTGAAAGTGCGGAGCAATAAAAAAATAATTAATAATAAATATATTTGTATTTATACTTAAAATTAAATTACAAAGATAAGATTTGAGATCGAGAGATTGATGGACATTTTTGGAGAAAGATTGTTGGGAGCAGTGTTGACTTGTTAGATGTAGCATTAAGTATGTGGTGGGAGTTGAGTATGGGTGTTAATTGAGCTGAATTCAAGTTTAATAGTTTGACTATTTACACATAAATGAGTAGACTTGTTTGACTATTTACATGTTAATGAACTTAAAAAAATATTTAAACTTAACTTGATTAACCATCTTAGAGTTGAGTGTAGGAAAGGGAAAAGACACAATGATTTTTTGGTGGTGTGTATATTGTACCCGTTAATAAAGGTGTCTAACTCACGGATCAGTTACGCCATACCTATTCTTTAAGGTCGAGAACACTCAATCTTCGCCGATGAATAACTGTGTGTAACTAAAAAGGTAATGTTTTGAGACAAATATGTAAAGTGATTTATTTATATATTTATTTGAAACACTTAAAAAAAAACTCGATTTTATAGATAAGAAATGAGTAAATATTATCATGGTATATCTTTTTAATATTAAATAAATAAGTGGATAAAAGAACTGGATTTTTTTTTAAGGAGAATTACATCTAAATATTTGAGATTTGTCACTTAGACTCTTGACATTTAAAGTATTAAAGTATTACACACGGAAGTCCTAATGTTTGTACGCACATAAAACTTAAATATCTGGCATCAATGTCTATTGGTATATCCATTAATAAATTATACTCAGACCCCCTAAAATTTGTATGTATGTAATATTTAGACTCTTAAAGTTTAAAATATTATACTTAGATCAAGAATACTCCAATCAAAAATAGAATATCAAATATTTTAAATTTTATAACCAAAATTCATGTTATGATATGTCATTTATTGAAATAAAATCAAAAAATAAAAATTCAATTTTTCTTAAAAAAATCATAATTAGTATACGATTATATTATATATTTGAATAAAACTAAAAAGCCAAACAAAAGTTCAAATTGCAATGGACACAATATATTTAATCTTTAATTGGGGTAATTTGATCGTTTAATAAATTTCGTTAATTCTATAACTAACGAGGGGTTTAAGTGTAATATTTTAAACTTGAGAGTTTAAGTATTACACATCTACAAATTTCAAGGGGTCTGAGAATAATTTACTAACGGACATTGACGGCAGGTCTAAATGTTACGCGTGTACAAACCTTAGAAGGTCTGTATGTAATACTTTAAATGTTAAGAGTCTAAATGATTAAGTGACAAATCGCAAAGGGTCTAAATATAATTTTTTCTCTTTGTTTGTTCATCATGTCGAATGAAGTGGGTTTGTATTGGCGCTATTGGGTGTTAGCATTTCATGTAAAAAAACACATCAATTGAATTCATTGATTAATTCGTGTCTAACGAATCATGTCATATCAGATTTATGTCATGTATAAATCGTGTATAACTGATATGTAAATGAGTCGCATTATGTATTTATTTTGATTGACTTTACTCATACCTAATTCGTTTATTAATTGCATTAGGTCTACTCGTTTATGAAATAAGTGATTTAAAAAATACTCAATCCCTTTAATTTCATGTCATGTTCGTGTTGTGTTAATGAATTGTATCATATTTTGACACAAGAAAAGTTATTTAAATAAGTGGGGTACACTTTTTTTATATAATGAGTTATTATTAAATGGTTATACTATATAACAATAATTACATGATATAACCGTTATACTCAAAATTCATTCGATGCTGCCAAGGTGTTACGGCCAGTCCAATGTTTAGAAGCCCCAATGGCATTAAGTTTCAGAAAAAGACCCACTGCATTTTTTTTTTTATCATAAACAGACATGCATCGATATATATTAAGTAGGAAAATTTAAATTACAGTCAGACAAAATAGAAGCCTTAAGTTCAGGAGGGGGGAGCCTAACCAATCCAATGAAGGGAATTGGTTAGTTTAGCAGCTGCCACCCAATGAGCAGCCCTATTATAGACTCGAGACTTATGTAA